CGGTCCTCAGGAGGTGGGCCTCTCCCTGGCCGAGGACCGTCCAGGCGCCTGCTCTCTGAATGCAAGTGCTGTTGGACAGGATGGCTGAACTGACCCATTACTCCCCTGCATTTTGACTGACATTCTTGATGGAATTGGCCGGATGTTTCTCCTTCACAAGAGACACAGCCTCAGGCCAGACAGCTGTGCCTCCCTCAGCCCAGCCGCAGCTGGAGGTACTGAGAACCCAGGACCCACGCTTCCTACTTACGGGATAATATCACTGGACCAAAAAGGCTCCAGGAAAGGGGCGTGGTGGCTTCTGCAGGGTCCCAAGAGGTCAGCAGGACTGGCTTCTGAGCATCTTCTATCCACGTTCTGAGCTTGTTCTCTGCCTGGGTCTGTGGACCCCACACGTTTGCTATCATCTGACACGGCACAGAGAGCCCTTAGGTCTGCTCGGGGCCAGGCTCTGGAAGGCCCTGAATCGTGCCCAGACCCACTTCTTAACTTCAAGAGTGCACTGTTTACAGAAGTGATTGTCCAGAACTTCTGTCTCCATGGGTTAGAAGTATGACCAGATGCAGCCATTACTTAAAGGGCATGTCATAATCTTTGCTGATTCAAAGGCCATTTCATGAATCTCCCCCCCTTGGGGGGGGGGCTCTCATTGATAACAACATCATTTTATGGCCTTGGGATGGTGAAAATTGTATGTTTAGAGAATTTTCCCCTTTGGTGAAATCCATTCGTGGCAGAATACCAAAAGCCACACGGAAGAGGGACTCTTACCCACTTCTGGCCTGCAGGGACTATGGAGGGAAAGGAAAATGTTACCACCCTTGATCTTGGGGTGACTTGGGTGATTATAACCTTGTATATGAACATGAGGCTCAGGGCTGCTGTTTTCATTCTGCATCTTACATAGCCATGTTTTCTTCAGACTTTAGTTACGTAAGTAGCACCTTCGTGATTTTGGCCACATTTGCAACGTTTATTTATTTTTGGGACAGAGAGAGACAGAGCATGAACGGGGGAGGGGCAGAGAGAGAGGGAGACACAGAATCGGAAACAAGCTCCAGGCTCCGAGCCATCAGCCCAGAGCCTGACGCGGGGCTCGAACTCACGGACCGTTAGATCGTGACCTGGCTGAAGTCGGGCGCTTAACCGACTGCGCCACCCAGGCGCCCCATGATTTTGGCCACATTTGGATGCCACTTGGGCCATTAGCATTTTTCTTTAAATTAACTCAGTACACACATATGTGTACGTAGGCACACACGAGAGTATCTTTTAAAAGGAAATTTTACATCCGTATCATAAATGGAACACTGGTAGCACTTGTTATAAACAGGGAGTAGCCATAAAAACAAATAAAACAGAAGCATAGCGGTGTGATTCCATTGTGGCTAGATTCCATTGTTGCCTATAGAAGGCGTTGAATCCAAGGTTTGCTTTCTTTCCTATAGCAGGAATGTTAGCAAGTGTTAGAGGGCATCAGAGCTCCGTTGGCCACATTGTTGGTGACCAGATACCCCTGCTACTTAGAGGGCACATTGTAAGCCGATATGAAAGGGAATTGGAGAGGGATGATGGTCTCACTCTTTCTTCCAAGCACCATCTAGGATTATTGCAGGTTCCACCCGGGGCACTGAGTGGGCCTGCCCTGGAGAAATTGTCCCCTGGCCATTGGCCTAAAGCCTCCCTCTCAGCTAGTTTCGGACCACACCTTCGAGAGAGCTCCACCACAGACATCTTTTCCACTGAGCCATGTTCTTCAGGCCTCAGCGAGAGGACCCACAGAGTTGCTGGAGACAAGGAGTGCTGGTCTCGCCACCTCTGATGTTGCCCAGAATATCCCCACTTTAATGAGACGACCCTAGAAAGACTGTTTGCACTTTCCTTAGCAGAGCTACAGGGAATTTTTGTAATGCTTATGAGAAAACCCCAAGCATGAGAACCAGCAGGGCATTTGAGCTACACTCCCGGCTGCTGACAATTCCCAAATGATATTTTCAGCTCTGCCTGCTCCCTTGAGGTCTAGACTTGTGCATCTAGCTGTCCAGTTGTTCTGCCCAGTTGCGGGCCTCAGAGACATCTTAAACTTAACATGGCCGAACAGGGCAGGACTCTTGATTGCCACCCTCACCCCCCCCCCCCAGACCTGCTTCTGTTCCAAGTCCCCCATGTCTGCCACAGGCAGTGCTAAGGCCAAAATATCCACTTGGCCCCTTTATCCAGTCCATTCATTGTTTGATTGGCTCCACCTTCCAAAAATATCCAGAATCCAGTCACACCCCACCCCTCCCGCCTTCTGACACTGTCCTGGTCTGTGCCCCGCCATCTCTGGCCTGGACAATGCTTTACAGCTCCTCTCTGTTCTCTACACGCCAAAGCCAAGAGTGAGCTTTTGAAGCTATAAATCAGGTTGTGTCACCTCTCAGTTCAAATTTCTTCAATGGCTTCTCATGGCACGCAGAACAAACTCCAGACTCCTTCCATGACATGGGCCCTGTGCCTTTCCTTCTTCACACCCTCTGCCCTGGGCTGGCCATGCTCCCGCCATGATGGCTTCCTCGTGTTGTACCAACACTCCCTCCCACCTCAGGGCCTTTGCCCCTACAGTGCCCTGTGCCAGGGGCTCTCTCTCCCTGATCCTCACATGGCTCCTGCTTCAAACCTTCACTTCATTCAGGTCTCCACAGAAATGGCACCCCCTTGGAGAGGTCTCCTGGCCCCCCCAAGAGAGCATCTCCCCCCACCATTCTCTAACCCTTCACCCTGCTTTATTTATTTATTTATTTTTTCATTAAGTAATCTCTACATCCAACATGGGCCTCAAACTCATGACCCCAAGATCAAGAGTCGGATGCTCTACCCACTGGGCCAGCCAGGCGCCCCTACCCTGCTTTATTTTTCCTCACAGCACTTACCACTGTTGACATGGCTTGTCTGAGAAAGTCTTTATTTCTCTTTCACTTCGGAAGGATAATTTCACTTGCTCTGGAATTCTAGGTGGGTTTTTTTTTTTTTTTAATTTCAACATTTTAAATATTGCATTCTGCTTTGATCTTGCTTGCATGACGTCTGAAGACAAGTCCAATGTACTCTTACTGTCGTTCTTTATAGGCAAAACACATTTTTCCTTCTGGCTTCTTTCAAGATTTTCTCTTTGTACTGATTTTCTGCAGTTTGAATGTGGTACATGTACATGTAGATTTTGGGGGGATTTATCCTGACTGGTATTCTCTGTTAACATTATACATTTATTTGCTTATTTGTTTACTGACTATCTCCCACGGGAGAATGTAAATTCATGAGGGCAGAGACTTTGTCTGATTCACTGCTTTATTCCCACTCTCTGGAACAGTCTCAGAAGCTAGTGACATTCAGTAAATATTTGTTGAATAATGAATGAGTAATCATATAGAGAGCCTCTAATAAGTTTGTGTAAGAGAGCAATATCATATAATGTGATTCACCCTATAAAATGTCACTATGTTTTCTTTCCTTGATGCAAAGTTGTCCAATCTATTTTTATATTTCAGCATAAAGTTGGCAGCTGCACTTTCCTGGAATAATAACAAATACCACTGAGTAATTACTACAGGGCAAATACCATTTGATGGGTTTCACATGCATTAACTCATTAAATCTTCACAGGAACTCTTTGAGGTCAGTGTAATTATGATTCCCATTTCAGAGATGAGGAAACCGAGGTATGGAGAGGCTAGTTTGTTCAAAGTCACAAAGATACCAAGGGTTAGAGCTGGAATTTGAATTTGTGAAGTGTGGCCCCCAAGTGCACAAGCTTCCTTGGGCTCAATGTCTGACTTGTGCCTTATTTACTTTCTTCGTTTAGGGGTGACTTACATGGTCACGTGCACTACTCCCAGATGGACAGCTCGGTGAACATCTCTGTGTACCATAGCTCTGTGATGGCTGCCCGGATCTGGGACTTGCACTTGACCCATGCCTCCCATGCCACCTGGTGTCCCTTTCAGTCGTTTCCCCCCAAAGCTACCCCTAGCTGAATCTTTATCTCTAGTTGATGTTGAAAAGGACTGTTTCTCATTCTATCCTCTTTACTTCTTTCAAAACAAATGTTAAAATCCTTTTCTTTTGTGATTAAATGAAAAGTAAGAACATTATAATTTGACAGTCTATTCATACCAAATTTGGGAACCAACAAGTTAGTGGTCTCTCCCTACCCCAACAACCCCACCCCGTTCTGAGGTGCCTTCCTGAGTCTCCTAGACCGAGGAAGAAGTAGGCCTTTGGGGCCTTCTGCACGTTTGTCACGGTGTCGGGTCTGTGGTGGGTATGCATGAACCTACACCTGTTGGTGGGTACGTGGATGGATTGATCATCTCTGTGAATGGTCCATCCCTGCCCTTGTGAAGTTCCTGGGGAGAGGCCTGCCCAGTCGGGGGTCATGAGATCAAGTGCCTCAGGCTGCCGGACTGGTACCATCAACTGTCCGTTGCCTCCTGGGGGTCCCTGTATTCACAGTGGATGCTCACCACCCTCCCCCCAGCCCCATCTCCGTCCCCACACTTACCCTGGCATCCTGATGGCTTTCTCCCGACAGACTTGCCCCTTCCTGAACTTCCACTGGGCCTACTTCTACTCTGCACCCTCTGCTTCCTCCCTCCTGGGGCTGCGGCTAGGCCGGGGCAGTCCAAGACCAAAGCTACGGGGGGTGTCACGGTCCAGGACGGAGCGCTTTCATCTCCGGTGGGGTGGGGGACAGTGCAGTTCAAAGGGGAGAGATGTCCACAGATGTTTCTTTGCAGGTGGGGATTGGGCCCGGCCTCCTGTAAGTATTGCCCCTGAGAACCCAGAGTGCTGTGTGTCCCTGGTCATTCCATCCCCAACAACCACACACTTTGTGGTGGAGAACCCAGAGGGGCAGTAACAGTTGGGGGATCTCAACTCCCAGTCTGAGGCTCCCTCCTGCCGCTTACCCCCAGCCCTCCTCAGTTTCTGCCCAGGTCTTTGAAATACTTAGGAGTACCTGGGAGCTAATGCATGTTTTTATTTTAATAAACAGCAGAGAAGAGAGAGGTAGCAGGGGAGGGAGAGAGAGAGGGATGGCACGGGGGGGAGGGTGCAGAGCAGGCTGTCTAGGACCCAGTGGGACAGCAGCACAGGGGACAACCCACGAGGAGGGGGACATGATCCCCATCCAGATTAAAGCTGGTAGGGGGACACCTTGAGGCAGCAGGCATGGGTCCGGTGAGGGTGGGACAGCTGTGGCTTTCTTCCTGGAGGGATGCTGAGGCGCCAGTTTGTACAACCTTGGGGGCGGGGAAGTGGAGGGGGTCCTGTGACCCTCTTGTCCTTGCCTCTTCCTCTCCCTTTCTCACCCCGTGCAGCCAGGTTGGCCACGAGCTCCAAAGCTCCCCAGCCTCCCTGGGGACAGCTTAAGAGAAGCAGAACCAGGATGGAGACGCAGGGCCCAGCTCCGTGCTGCTAGAACCCCCTCAGCCCACAGCTGTCCCCCTGCTCCAGCCCATCTCGTGCCTGCTCAGAGCTCGCTGACTGCGCAGACCAGGTCCCCCACTCCCCAGGCCCTTTCCCAGTGTCAGCAGCAATTTCCCGGCAGGCCTGGTGACAGTAGCCTGAGCCAGCCCAGGGGAAACCCAATGCCATGGCGTCAGCAGCGGGTGCCCCCTGGTGTCTGGGGAATGGGGCTGAGACTGTGCAGAGCTGAGCTGCCCGAGGGGCAGAACTGGCCCCCCCATCCCCCCACAGCTCCCTGTCCTTTCCACACTTTGTGGAGGCAGTCATGCCCTCTCCCCTGCACCCAGGGACCCTGGCCAAGACGCTTCTGTTTCCAGACCCAAGCTGGAAAATGTCACCCACACCCTGGAGACAGTGCCTGTCCCAGACAGGCCAGGCCCTTCCTCCCCCGGTTGGTGTGAGGGCCCTGCTTCAGGGAGGAGCAGAGCGGCCTCGGCCCTTCCCCTCCCGATTCTAACCTAGCTCCAGCACTCAGAGAGACATCTTCGTCCGGCCCCTTCGATGGCCAACAGCCCATGCCTTCTGCCTCTGGTTTTACCTTGTTACTGGGTCTGTGCAGAACACTCACCTTCTCCGTTAGCCAGAATGCTCCCTGGGGGTGGAATGGGTTTCCTCTCTCCTGTGTATTCCTTTCAGGTCAGTAGGGGTGTTTTTCAAAAGCTGGTCCTCAAGGGCAGAGACTGGGTCATATTTTATTCAGTCCAATTGCCTCTTAGCAGACTTGACTACTAGTCGATCCGCATGGACACCTACATTCCTAAATCAAAATGAGGGAACACTACTGTGTGTGTCGTTTTCCTGGATAATGCGTGTGCCCCCCGCACTTGGCATCGGAGCAGGGGCTAAGCTGAGGTTTGCTGCACCGGATCAGATGGACTTGACCTATAGAAGGTGGCATGACTCATGGTGGAGGGGAGGCTCTGAGACCGGTCCCAGCCTGGAGGGGCAGGGAGATGCAGCCAGAGGCTCGGGACAGTGGGCAAGGGGCCGTTCATTTGGTTTGGGCCTGAGTCCTGGCTAATGTCCAGTTATACTCTTTTCTTGGGGCTAGCAGCCCCTCTGTTGCTGATCCTGGAGATTCTCTCACACAGGCCAGCTGAACAGGTACATCCCCTTGTCGTCCCCCCACCAGTCTTCTGCCTGGGCCACAGCTGCACGCACCGTGCTTGAGACCGGCCCTGTCTGTTTTCCAGGAGTTCAGACTTGCCCCTCCTTGGCTTGTGGAATGTTGCCACCGAAATTCATCTCAGGGTCGCCAGATGGTCCTGTCTCCTCCTCTTTGCAGAGGAGGAAACTGAGGCTGAAATGCAGTAATTTGCCCAGGCCTGCACAGCCATCTGAGGTTCTAGACCCCAAACCTCCCCACCCATGTCCCTGTTGACCTAGACTGTGAGAATTCCTGTGAGCTGCATTTATTAAGCACTTGTAGCATGTAGAGCTTTGGACTGTGTCTCGGGCTAGGTAAGAATGTCTCCAAATAAATAATACAGCTGTTCCCAAACTTGGGGATTATACGGACCAGCTGGTTAAAAATTGCTCTTAACTAAAAAGAGGAAAAGGTTTGACAATTTTTATTTCACTGAGAATAGACTTTCTAGAAGTCCTACTTTCATTATGTTTTGTGACAAGAAAGGAAGAGCATTTCAAATCAGAAAAAAGGATGATATCATTTCTAACTTAGAAGCTAACTGAATGTAACCGCATAAAGAATTCACTACTGGTTTTTCTCCTTTACCTCCAACTGGTAATAGCATCATCATGGACCAGATCCCTTCTGTGAACCCAGATTAGAAGACCCAGATCTGTCCCCAGGAGCCCATGCTCTGGTCTAAAGGCTGGCCCAGACTCCAGCCATCACCTCACAGTTGCTTCCAGGCAAGGGTGGCCCAAAGCGCTGGAGTGTGGGCAGGGCCCATCCAGACCCTTCTCCTGGTGGCTGGGGAGCAGGAGGGCTCTGGGGAGGGCCTCTGAGAGTTCTGTCCTCAATGTCTGACATCAGACAGCATTATTTCCATCTGGATGCTTCGACTTCAGAACAAGTCGAGACTGTTCAACCCACAGGGGTCAGAGTGCCAGCCGGTTATCCTGAACGTTAGGTTAACTATACCAGCTTTTACTCTCATTGGCTGTGTGATCTTGGACCAGTCCCTGAACCTCTCTGGGCCCCTTTCCTTGGCTCACAGAGCTAATGTGAGTATAGCCATTCATATAGCAAGCGTTTGATTGTATGGCCACAGGGGCTTCTTCTTAAGAAGAGGCTAAATATCCCAGGATCCCTGGGCACCCAGGCTCCTGGTCCCACCTCAGAGCCCTTCCTCCACACCTCACAGCCTCCAGGTCTTCATCAAATCTGCCATCTGCCCAGAGACCAGGCCTTTGTTCCCTCAGTCTGGCCCTGACACCTCCCGTTTTCCACTGGGTTCCACATGTTTGACTTAAGGTTAGCACCTGTGTCCCCTAGTGCTGGCACATCAGGGCATGAAGTTCAAGTCCAGGCACCATTCCTCAGGCTCAGTGGCAGACTGTGGTGGGGGTTCTTCCTGCAATGGGTGATGGAGATCATCACTGACCCTCCCTCACCTCCTTCCCGTCATCCCTCATTCCAGAGACCCCGAGGAAGCCCCTCCTCTGGAAAAAATTACTCCCTGCTGCTCTTCTCCACAGGGGCCTCCTCCTTCCCTCCTCTCCCACCTCACTCCAGCACCCTCGGGGCGGGGGGAACCTATGTTTCCCCTCCCTCCTGCCATCTTTTTCTTCCTCCCTCAGCCCTGGCCCTCGGCCCTCGGCCCCCAGGTCTCCTCCTCTCAGCCCTTATCTGCCCCAGGATCTGACCTGCGGATGCACTCCTGCTTGGCGCGCTCCTGACCCTGGGATGGCATCACCGCCCGGCCTGCCTGCCCCGAGGCCAGCTCCGGCCTGCTCTCCTTCCCTTTAAAAGCCCCCATGTCTTGAAGCTGATTAAAACAAACACAGCTCATATTTTTGTTCTTAATCCAATTCTGCACTGGGCTAGGGTCGGGAAGGGAGGATAGGATGACAGAAGCACATTCTTCCCTGTGCCAGCGGGGAGAGCCAGACCAGGTACCCGCCGAGAAGTCCCCAGGGGCTGGGAGGCCATGGGCCCAAGCAGGGTGCGGCTGGACAATCGTGGGGCAAGATTTAGCTGTGGTTCCCAGGGCAGGGTCAGGAGGAAGGGCAAGTTCTTCAGGGCCTTCCCGGAGTGGGGAGGAGGCAAGAGGCCCTTCTGGGAGCAGCCAGCCGGGGAGGGGGAGGGCAGGGGCTCCGAATAGAGGCCTTTATTCTCTCTAGTCTGGAAACAAGACAGGATCTGCTTGTCTCAGCTGACCCCTTCCTCTGACATCCCTTCTCAACACTTGGCCTTGGAGTTCCTCAGGACACACAGACCCAGACCCACGCTCTGAACACTTTCCTCTCTCGTGGGCAAGACCCATAGGCCTCTGTCTGAACCACAGGCCGTGCCTCCACTTCCCTGAATTTCCCCATAGAGCATGGGGGAGAGGGAGAACCCAGTGCCGGTGCAGGCAGAGGCTGGAGGCAAGTGCCTGGGGTTGGATCTTGCTCTGCCACTTATTGGTTGTGTGACTGTGGGTAGGTCAGTCTCATCATCTGTAAAATGGGGGTAGCATATACCTACCCCATAGGATTGTTGTGAAGCTGTGTGTGCTTAGAATAACAAACACTAAGAACAGCATCTGGCATTGTCCTGCACACTACTTCTGGAATGCATTGTTATAGATTAAAAAAATTTTTTTTAAATTTTTTTTTAACGTTTATTTATTTTTGAGACAGAGAGAGACAGAGCATGAACGGGGGAGGGGCAGAGAGAGAGGGAGACACAGAATCGGAAGCAGCCTCCAGGCTCTGAGCCATCAGCCCAGAGCCCGACGCGGGGCTCAAACTCACGGACCGCGAGATCGTGACCTGAGCCGAAGTCGGACGCTTAACCGACTGAGCCACCCAGGCGCCCCTAAAAAAATTTTTTTTTTAACATTTATTTATTTTTGAGACAATGAGAGAGACGGAGCATGAGCGGAGGAAGGGAGAGAGAGAGAGAGGGAGACACAGAATCTGAAGCAGCCTCCAGGCTCTGAGCTGTTAGCACAGAGCCCGACGCAGGGCTCAAACTCATGAGCTGTGAGATCATGACCTGAACTGAAGTCGGACACCCAACCGACTAAGCCACCCAGGCACCCCTGTGCTGGGTTATGTGTTATACTACACTATGCACTGCCACTCTAGGAAGTCTTGGTTGTCATTGCTGTTGTTGAAGGCAGCTGGAGGTCGTCGTAAGTCTGTCATCTAATAGGTCTGTGGTTCTAAGCAAGTCACGCCTGTCTGCTAGCCTCAGCTTTGCCCCTGTAAAATGGGAAGAAGCCTAACCTCAGAGAACGGTTGTCAGTTTCCAATGTAGTAATAGACAGGAGAGAACCTAACATTTACATGTCTGTGATGTATATTTATTGGGTCTTAGAATTATGTGATGTCATTGTTAAATGAGACCTTAAGAGACCATCTTGTCTAGGAGAGGAGGGAAGAAGATGGTTAGATCATACAAAAAGAGAGAAAAGGCAAAGGGGAAGGGAAACAAAAGGCACATACCAAATGGAATGGTTCAGAGAGTGAGAACAGGGGAGAGTCTGAGGAATATGAAAAGGGAAGAATGAGGAGGGAGAGCAAAAATAGTTCCCCCAAATGGAGCAAGGACATAGAAGAGGGTCGGGAAGGGTGGGAAGGGGCCAGGGAGAGGGGACAGCTGGCAGACCCCAATGCGGGGCTTGGGTATCTGCCTTGGGAGCCTGTAGGGCTAGAAAGACTTCCTGGCTGAGGTCTCTGGGGTGGGGGTGGGGTGGGAGAAGGTAGGAAAAGGCAGAGATCCTTCCCGCCACTGCTTCCCCACCACCAGGCTCTGTCAGCTCCCAAGCTGGGAGCTTCCCTCCCCACGTGCCCCACCCTCGCCTCCTGGCTAACAGGCACTTAGAGCCAGAAGATCTCTGGACCTGCCAGGATCAGAGGCACAGCTGGGGAAAACCTCTCCTGGGCTCTTCCTGACGCTGTTGGCCTGGGGAAGTCCTAGCTCTGCATTGGAGAGATGCTTAATAATGCCTCCCCCCAAATCCTCAGAAGTCTCTAGCTTCACAGTCTTTTGGGGCTAAACAAGATCTTAAAGGTCCATCGTTTGAATCCTAGCCTAAGACAGTTCATCTGCCTGGCCACCTCCAGAATGGGCCACCTCCAGAATACCTATTGAGACAGGGCTCTCATTACCCTTCAAGGGCAATGAAGGGTAATGGGCCCCTTCCCATTTGCTGGGTCCCTTCCAAGACTGACTTACAGTTACTGTAGCTGCAAACCAGTCAGTGGGTAAATAACAACTTTGTGAGTCCTCATTTTGTGCCCTATCTGAAGGACAAACGAGTGAATCCCAGGGAGGTCCTACCGTCTGCCCAACCCATAGAGGGTGTGTGGGTGGCCAACCTGGCATCCTCGCCTTCCAGGTTCAGGGGTCTCCCATCCTCCTTCCCAGCCCCATAGTCACTTACCTGGACTGTGACAGTTCCCCACACCACAGCTAGAAACCAAGATGCATCAGTAGGTCAGGGGGAAGGAGACTGGAAATGGCCCATAAAAGTCTCGGGCTCCCCGTAAACACCAGAGCGGGGCTTTGAAAGCCCAAAGCACTTTTATGTGCTAGTTAAAGGGCCTTCCTGTTGTGTTGCCAGGATTTACAGGGAGGTGGGTGGGGGAACGGGGTGAGGTAAGGCCAAATGCAGCCTCCGCCCTCTGACACTCCCCAGGCTTTGGGCTTTTCAGAGGTCTAATTCTTTGGGTCCCAGAGGAGAATGGAGGAAGAGTACGGTTTAGCAACTTCTTGGCTGTCACACTCCGTTTGCCAAGCATGGATCGTGAGGCTCCTCCTTGGTCCTTTGCAATCCCAACCCAGCCCCCCGGGGCAGTGGTTGACCAAGGCAGTGACCTATTCCAGACCAGCAGAGTCCATTCCCCCTGGAGACAGAGGCAGAACTCTCAAGAGGTAGAGGCCAGCTACCTATGCAGTTTTTAAGAACTAGAATGATCCAAATGGCTTTATTTAGGAGAGGTTGTTTCACGGCCAGTCTTGCCTATGCGCTACGTCCGATGCCAGCACCAAGGGATCATAGGGAGAGAGCAGGACATCTGTACCTGTCTCAACTCCATGAGTTAGGGTGCCCATCCATCAACCTGCCTCCGTGGGACAATAACCGTGGGCAATAACCATGAATTTAAACTTAAAAAAAAAAACCTACAAAACCCTGAGATGCTCCACGAAATCAGTGTGTTATTCCAGCCCACTGTCCCTC